AGCGGAGGAGGTGGTTGGAGTTGTTGAAAGGCTATGATATCACTATCTTATATCATCTGGGAAGGGCCAATGTGGTAGCCGATGCTTTGAGTAGGAAGTCAACCAGTATGGGCAGTCTTGCTTATATTTCGATCGGTGAGAGACCGCTTGCTTTGGATGTTCAGGCCTTGGCCAATCAGTTTGTGAGGTTGGATATTTCTGAGCGGCCATGTGTTAGCTTGCAGTCGCTCATTCTTCATTATTGGAGCGTATCTGTGATCGACATTATGATGATCCCCATTTGTGTGTCCTTAGAGACACAGTACAACGCAGAGGTGCCAAGCAGGTTACTTTAGATGATGATGGAGTTTTGAGATTGCAAGGTCGAGTTTGTGTGCCTAATGTGGATGGGCATCAGGACTTGATTTTAGAGGAGGCCCATAGCTCCTGGTACTCTATTCATTTGGGCGCCGCGAAGATGTATCAGGATTTGCGGCAACATTATTGGTGGTGGAGAATGAAGAAGGATATCGTTTCATATGTGGCTCGGTGTTTGAATTGCCAGTAGGTTAAGTACGAGCATTAGAGGCCTACTGGTTTATTTCAGATAATTGAGCTTCCCGAGTGGAAGTGAGAGCGGGTCACTATGGATTTCATTGTTAGACTCCCACAGACTCGGAGGAAGTTCGACGCAGTATGGGTCATTGTTGATAGGCTGACCAAGTCAGCGCATTTTTTTCTTGTGGCAGTCTCCTATTCATCCAAGAGGTTAGCTGAGATCTATATCTGGGAGATTGTTCGTCTTTATGGTGTGCCTGTGTCTATCATTTCAGATTGAGGTATGCAGTTTACCTCGCGCTTCTGGAGAGTAGTTCAGCAAGAGTTGGCACGCAGGTTGAGTTGAGCACAACATTTTATCCTCAGACGGATGGACAGTCCGAGCGGACCATTCAGATTCTTGAGGATATGCTCCGAGCTTGTGTGATTGACTTTGGAGGCTCGTGGGATCAGTTTTTGCCTTTAGTAGAGTTTTCCTACAACAACAGCTACCAATCGAGTATTCAGATGGCTCCTTATGAGGCTTTATATTGTAGGCGATGTCGGTCTCCGGTTGGATGGTTTGATCCGGGAGAGGCTCGGTTGTTGGGTACGGATCTGGTTTAGGAGGTCTTGGACAAGGTCAGGATCATTCAGGAAAGGCTTCGTACAGCTCAGTCCAAGCAAAAGAGTTATGCTGACCGTAAGGTTCGAGATTTGGCTCTCATGGTCGGTGAGCGGGTATTGCTCCGAGTGTCGCCTATGAAGGGCGTGATGAGGTTTGGGAAGAAGGGCAAGCTTAGCCCTAGGTCTATTAGCCCGTTTGAGATTCTTGATCGAGTGGGAGAGGTGGCTTATAGACTTGCACTGCTGCCAAGCTTATCAGCTGTGCATCCAGTATTTTATGTGTCCATACTTCGGAAATATCACGGCGTTCCATCCCACGTGTTAGATTCCAGCAGTGTCCAGTTGGACAAGGACTTGTCTTATGAGGAGGAGCCAGTGGCTATTCTAGACTGACAGGTTCGTCAGTTGAGATCGAAGAGTTTTCCTTCTGTTCATGTTCAGTGGAGAGGTTAGCCTCTTGAGGCATCGACCTGGGAGTCCAAGTCCGATATGCGGAGCCGTTATCCCCATCTTTTCCCCGACTCAGGTATTTTCTTCTTTTGTCCGTTCGAAGACAAACGGTTGTTTTAGAGGTGGAGAACTTGTTTTAAAATGAAATTCTGTGTTCTGACGCCTTAAAAACCTCTTTTAGCATCACCTCGATTTGCGTGTGCAGTCCGGGCGTGTAGCTGGAAAGCCTATATGTGAAACTTTGTGAAAAATGATAAGTTTTGACTGTAAAATGAATTAATTTGACTTTGGTCAACGTTTTGGGTAAACGGATCTTGACCCGTGATTTGACGGTCCCAAAGGGTCCGTAGGAAAATATGGGACATAGGCGTATGCCCGGAATCGAATTCTGAGGTCCTAAGCTCTAGAAATGAATTTTTTAAAGAAAATTATTTTTTGAAATTGTTTAAAGGAATTTGAAATGAAATTTGATTAAAACATGATGGTATCTGGCACGTATTTTGGATCCAGCGCCCGGTACAGGTCTTATATATGATTTAAGATGTTTTTGTGAAATTTGGTGGAAAACAGATGTTATTTGACGTGATTCGGACCTAAATTGCTAAAATGGATATTTTAAGAAGTTGAGATAATTTTTTGATTTTGAGGTTTAATTCGATGTTAATAATGTTATTTTGACGATTTGATCGCACGGATAAGTTCGTATGATATCATTGAGTTAGTACATCGGGTGTATTTCGGGTGTGTTTCGGAAAGTTTTGGACTTAGGAAAAGTTGCAGGTTTTTCAGCTGTTGGTATTCTGGTATGCCCTTCTTCGCGTTCGCGGGAGGACCCTCGCGAACGCGATGTGTTAATTTTTGCTGAAGGAAATTCCTTCTACGCGAACGCGTAGCCCAGGTCACGAACGTGAGGCATTGGGGGGTCTTCCCTTCGCAAATGCGGTGCTGGCCACACGAACGTGAAGACTAATTGAGCCTGGGCAGGGGAGTGGGGCATTTGACCAACGGGAACGCGATCCATTGCACGCGAACGCGAGGCTTGAGGAGTTTCTTCTCCACGAACGCGAGCCCCCTTTCGCGAACGCGAAGGCCTAGCAGGCCTAACCCATCGCGAATGCAATGGACTTGTCGCGAACGCGAAGAGTAATTTTGCCCAGTTATTTTAAAAGTTCAGAAATAGTAGCATTACGAGACTTAACCCAAATTTCATAACTTCTTCTTCTCCACACCTCTTGGGGCGATTTTTGAAGAGTTTCTTCACGATAACCTCTTAGGTAAGTAATCTTTAACTTGTTTCTTTCCATTTTTATCATCAACCATTAGATTTCTAGGCTTAAATCATGTAATTGAGGGTAGAAAATTAGGGATTTGGGTAGAGTTAGGACTTTTTGATTATTTGTGATTTAGACCTCATTTTGGGGTCGGATTTGAAAACAAATTATATATTCGGGCTCGTGGGTAAATGAGTGATCAGAGTTTGGTCCGAACCTTGTATTTTGACCAAGCGAGCCCGGGGTCAATTTTTAACTTTTTGGGAAGAATGATTAGAAAGCTATAATTAAGCATTGGAATTGGATTGTCTAGCGTTTATTGATGTTATTAAGTCGATTATGTCTAGATACTATTGATTTGGAGCTAAATTCAAAAGGGAAAGCGGTGTTTGAGGCTTGAGTTGGCCATGAAAGTTCGAGGTAAGTGTTTGGTCTAACCTTAGCTTGAGGGATTAGGAGTCGAGTCCTATTTGCTATGTGATAATTGTTGAGTACGACGTATATACGTTGGTGTCAAGCATGCCCCTGAGTCTTATATTGTGATTTTCATGACTTCGTTGTATTATCCATGCTTTAGAGTTGATTTCTATTTGTTGTGAGAAGTTTGTGGAAGGAATTGTGACCTTTGAACATCGAGGAACATTAGCTCAAGTTATATTATGAATTGCGAAAGTGTATGAGTTGATTGAACCCTTTGGAGCATTGGCTCAAGTGGTAAAGTGAGTTGTGAAGTAAAAGTGAATAAGATAAAGAAGTCACTAAATTTTTCCCTTGCCGGGATATTGTTGCTTTATTGGTTATCTCCCTTGCCGGGATGTTGAGATTATTGATGTTGCTCCCTTGCCGGGACTTAATTGTTGAATTGTTGTTCCCTTGCCGGGATTCTTATTATAATCTTATTTATTCCCTTGCCCCATTGTTTGTGATTGTTGTTTGGGTGAGGAAGAGTGTTAAAACATGAAGGGTGATGTCGTGTATTGTTTCTTTTTGTGAGGAAAGAGTGTAAAGAGCGAAGGGTGATGCCGTGTACGATTGTGAAGAAAGAGTGTAAAGCACGAAGGGTGATGCTGTGCCGCACGATGTACCATTCCGTGCCGATTTTATTGATTATATGGTGAGGAAAGAGAGTAAAAGCACGAAGGGTGATGCCGTGCACACTTTTATTATATAATTGCTTTGATGAGGACGAGAGTAAAAGCATGAAGGGTGATGCCGTGCATTTGTTGATTTTTGATTCTTTGTTGATATCCGAGTTGTCATGTTCTTTCATTACTTGATGCCTTTTTATTCGGAATTGTTATCTCCCCCACAACATGCTACCCCTCCCACATTGACTGGTTAATTCTGTATTTCTTTTCCGTTGTATACATATTTGAACTGCACATGTTTGTTTGGTAGTCCGGTCCTACCCTCGTCACTACTTCGCCGAGGTTAGGCTAGACACTTATCAGCACATGTGGTCGGTTGTGCTGATACTACACTCTACACTATGTGCAGATCCCGGAGCAACTTTTGGACCGTAGTGTGGAGGCTACCTTCAGTCCGCGCGGAGACCAAGGTACACCTGCAGGCGTCCGCAGGCCCTGACGTCTCCTCTACTCCTATTTCCTGTTTCATTTTTCTTTTATTCAGAAATAGTGTATTGTCATTTTCTTCAGCCTTTGTATGTAGCAATCTTAGACAGTCTGTGACACTGTGACACCAGGTTTTGGATGGTTGAGACTTAAGTAATTGTAATAGACGCAGATTTCAGATGTTTAAATGTTATCTTCCGCTTATTTATGTAAAGTTTCGTTGTTTTCATGTTATCGCCTTATATTTGTTAAAAGAATTAATTTGATAATGAAGTAGGTAGTTAAGGATTATCTTGCCTAGCTCTCATCAGTAGGCGCCATCACGACTCCCGCGGGTGGAAAAACCGGATCGTGACAGTTTCCACAAACTCCGTTGAAAATTGATTATTAGTTTCCCGTTCTATATATATTTTGAGGGGAAAAAGTTGGAAATCTATTTTGTAAGATGATTAATTTTTTAGATCCATTCAGCCGCAAGCGCACAAGTTGTTGGTATTATTCTGTACTCTACCATTGAAGTAAAAGTTATTCACAATTTTAGGACAAAATTTAGCCAAGAGAGTAACGAAACAAATTAAATATAGATCTTCACATACTTTACATTTTTACAATGACTAACGAACTAAATAATTTAAGAGTAAAAATATTATCCCAAATTCACACCAAGCAATATCTGGCTTAACTTTCCAACAAGAAATCAAAGAATAAGTAGAGCTAGAAATTAAGAAGCTAAAAACAATCCACTATATATATTATATACCAGGCCATGATACTTCTAGTTGTCTTGGAATAAGTTGAAATTAAGATTTAGAAGTGCTCAAGTCCTTGAAAGAAGAAGGCGATGGTTCACCGCCGGCAGGTAAGTCGGCGAGGGCGGCGGCGATCCGGCGAATGCTTAAAGAACGAGCCGTTTTAAAGCTGTATGATCTTTGTGTTTTGGAGAATATGTTTGAAGATTTTGACAGAATCAAATAAACCAAAGCTTGAACCAAGGCAAACAGACCCACCTTCACCAATATACTTCCCTCAAACTCCATTACTGTTGCAATTTCAATATAGAGTAACTAGATGTGTATGAATCTGCTGTGAGATAAAGTAAGTTGTTAATTGTAGGAGAAATATATGAGAAGTGAAAAAATGGTACGTACGAGAAGTGTATATATAGCAGAAGAGATAGTGAAGCTTGTGACTTTCAAATTAGGCAACCTCTTTGACCGTTTGACGTTTGCAACTCATCGAGTGGGCTACGTGGAAATTTCCATGCTAATTGACCACATGTTTTTTTTTTCAAATTGAAATATCATAATATAACTTATTACGAAGTGTCAATTGTCCGTCTTTATTATAGAGAATTGGTAATCGATTAAACTACATTGATAAAGTACAAATTCTTTACACTATATAGTCTATATAGATTAAATCATTTATTATGTCGTCATGAATAGGATTATAGTTCTTGAAAATATGTGGCCAAAGAAAAAATAAAGAAATAATTAAGGTGTCAATGAATTGATGAGGAAATCAAGCTATTTCCGGTTTACTTGACCATAACGATCAATAACAGAAAGGTTGTTGATAATGATCATAAGTATTTAACAGCCAGTTGTTGCTTTAACGACTAAATTACTGAATTGTTTGAAATTGTTACGTGTCAAATGTCATGCCAATGCAGCAAGAAAGTATCACGCGGCTTTAATTTATCTACTAGTTTGTGGAGTATACTAAACCTAATCTCTTCTGACTTCAAATAGTGGATAAGATGAACTTGCCATGAACATGCAATCCATTTTTAGTTAGGTTATAATCGGTCTAGTTCCCTGGGTCCAACTTTTCCATTTTCCTCTTCTTTTTTTTGAAGAAATTCAAAAATAGCCAGAGTTACAACTGGCGTTCAAAAATAGTCCAGTTTCAAAATTAATCGAAATTTAGCCACTTTTCATGTAAAGATAAATCTGAACAAAAACACTGTTCAAAACCCGAAAAATACGTCAGTATATTATACTGGAGTTCCAGCATAAGTATGCTTGAACTCCGGCATATTATACTGGAGTTCCAGGATAAGTATGTTGGAACTCCAGCATAGTATGATAGAGTTCCAGCATAAGTACACTAGAACTCCAGCATAATATATTGGAGTTCAGCAAGTATAATTGTCCAGTGTAATATACTGGAGTTTGGAGCACCGGTGCTCCAGTCTCCAGTATATTATACTAGAGTCAGCAAAGTATATCGGTCCAGCATAATATGCTGGAGTTCATACACAGGTGCACCGAACTCCAGTATATTATGCTGGACCGGTCTCTGTTGCAGCAAAATAGTGGTTATTTTTCATGGACTTTGTAAGCGCTGGCTATTTTTGAATGACCAGTCCGAAAACTGGCTATACCGTACTATTTTTACTTTTTTTTTTCCTTAGGTACATAGGGTGTCCAATAGGCGCAATAGACAATTTACACTTTCATATGTTATCCATTTATTTGGCTGAGAAAAGAAAATATATCAAAGATGGGAAATAAGGAGTTTAATTACACAGAGGAACTAAAATCAAATTTACCGGGTTACAACCAGATAAAGTTAATAAAGATGTCATGACCATCTTTCCATCATTAATCTTGGTCAACTTAAATTGAACAGTAGGTCACAAAGAAATAACATAAAGCGTGAATACTGACATGTACGGGGTGCTTATATAAAAATCAAATAAGTTAACTTAACCATGTGTTTAATTTGATTATGGGTATGAAATTAACCTAACCATATTAAAGTGACATTTCATACACATTAATCTCAATTAAGTGTTGAATATATGTACGAAAGATACATATTTTATGTTTATTAATTTGATGTAAACATCCGATTCTCCTAACTTTCAACACCCAATGACATATGTTGGCAAACAAAACAATACGCACGAAAGTGACAGAACCAATCAGCCCATGAGCCACAAAAATGTCAAAGGTATGGGTCAATTTAGGGGTGTTTACGGTTCGGTTTGGTCGGTTTTTTATTAAAACCAAAACCAAATCAATTTAATCGGTTTTTAAAATTTTAAAACCAAATTAAATACAAACCATAGGTTTGATTGTTATTGGTTTGGTTCGGTTTTCCGGTTCTTAGTAAGCTAATGATAAGTCGATAATAGTAAAACAACACTAGACAACAATCTGAAAATAATTTGCTAAATTTATGTTTTTTTATATATTTCTTTCTGAAAGTTTATTTACCTGTTTATATGAAAAGAATGACCAAAAAATAAACTAAAAGTTTGTTTTCTCAAGCTTTAGCCATTGTTGTCTTGCAATTTGAATTTGCTTTCTTTACTCTTGTGGTGGTTTTTTTTCTAACTATTCTGTTAGGCAAAAGTATGTGCGGAGGGTTAGAGAATTAGAGTCTCTTAATAAAAAGAAAATTGGTCGAGTCCTATAGTTTTGGGCTTAGGCAATCTTTTAAGATATAAAAGGATAAACCAAAATTCAAAATAACAATTAAAATGCATAAAATATTTAAAATTATTTACAAAAAGATATTATATTGTATATAAATAATTATTAAATTTTGTAATTAGTCGGTTTGGTTCGGTTTATTTTTCGGTTTTTTAAAATAAAACCAAAACCAAACCAAATATTATCGGTTTTTAAAATTTAAAACCAAAACCAATCCAAATCAAGAAAAATATCGGTTTACTTAATCGGTTTGGATCGGTTTTCCGTCAAACCGTGAACACCCCTAGGTCAATTTGATATTTTCCAAAGAACCTCATGCATATTTCGTTTTGAATTTAAGATGATATTATAAATTGTCCTTAATTTTGAAAAGCAAGTTCAAACCATTCATGTGTCCTTTGAGAGCTGCAAGATTTATAATTTACGATATATACACTGAATCATTTATCCAGTTAAGCTCAGTTTGGTAGAGCTTTTGCCTTAAATACAATTACAAGTATCAGATAAGTCATACTCATTGCCTGTGCAATAATAAGGATTAAGAACCCCTTGCCATTTGAACTTCAAATGTCACAACTTCCAAGCATAAGCCACCAAGCAATGTAAACCTGTTTTTACTTAATTTGCTACAAAGTTGTTGCTGAAGCGTCGAAGTGTAGCTAGCTGCCATGGAATTTTCTTCACTGATTCCAGCCGTTAATTTTAATTATCGGACTAAAGTCAACGGAACAAGGAAAATTACTTACTTTTGATAAGCTTAAACGACTAACTATGGCAAGCTAAGGCCTAAAGGATGATTTAGACACATATATTAGTTCCCTAAACATAAGCGACCATTTATGTGATTTTCTCGAATTAAGCCATATCCTGGGTAATTTTATTGCAATCTACAAAATCAGTCCCCTCGATACATCAGAAATCAATTGATACATTATTAATTACCCGTTTACCTACATTCTGCTGCGCCCTCATTTAAAATCCATAGATACTAGGAGAGGAATATGTTGTACTTCCAAATTAAACCATGCAATATGCCGGAATGAAAAATTGATGCCCAGCTGAAACATGAAAAAGAGATGTCTCTATTACACATGCACAACAAATGGCACAAAAAAATGCTTATGCCCAATTTTAGACTACGTTATTCTTTCATCGCCAACAGGAACTCAAGATACAGAAACGAAACGAACACATCATCATAAACAATGCACATTCAACTAAAACCAAAAGACATACAACTAGAATTGTGCCAAAAACAATCAATCAAGCACACCTTAAGACTTCTGAAGAAAATCAAACCAATTTATATTTGACAAAAGAGCTCCTTTGGCATACTTCACTCGGTAACCAAAGTCGCTTTGGCCGAGTGGTTAAGGCGTGTGCCTGCTAAGTACATGGGGTTTCCCCGCGAGAGTTCGAATCTCTCAGGCGACGTAGTTTTTTATTGTATTTTTTTTTTATCTGTCTGAAGTTCGATGCGTATATGTTTATACAATTCGGTATCTAAAATTCAGTTGTTGGTATTAAGTCCATTTATTAACTTGTTATTTCCTCGAACCGCATCATCAGTGCCTAAATGGTGCTGCTACTGAAAAAAAACGTTTGGCTATAAAAAAAATTTGTTTCGATGCAAATATTAGATGGAAATGCATAAAGTTGTCCCACATTTCATTTGCATATAACGTATAACTATGTAAAAGTACAGAATTATTGGGAACACAGCATGAAAACAAGACATGACTGAATATTGAAACAATAGAAAAAGGACTTATTTTGCTAAAGAACTGGAAACCGGTTATAATTAATTAGGCAGGAAGCTTAGAAGCTTCGAGATCGGCAGCTTGTTTGATCAAATTCTGGTCACTATCATCAAGAGCCATTTGAATCGGCGACGATCCAAGTCCCTCGGCGATCGCCAGCATAATCTTCCTCATCTCATTCCCAAACTCCTGTCGGTCAACGGTGCCGTTGTGGTCACAATCGAACTTCTCGAATATGGAATCGTAGAGGCGGGTGAGTTCCTCCGGCGAGGCGGCAACGTCGACGCCGAAGTGAGCCTCTATGAGGCGGAGAGACTCGAACGCTTTGCGAAGCTCGGAACGGGATAAAACGCCGTCGTTGTTGAGGTCCAAATCGGTGAATCCTTTATCAATTGCCTTTGCAAAAGCTGCTTCGTCGTTTACGAAGTCTCGAATTGTTGATCCGTCTATGATCACTACTCCCATTTTTATTTTTTTTTAACTGATTCAGAAACTACTCTGAGGTAGTGCTTGTGAAGTGGGAATAGGATATATATGGCTGGGGAATTTGAATTTAATTAATAATTGTAAAAATTACGCTAACATTTTGAGATAAGATATTTTTGAGAGAAAAGCTAGTGGGTGGATACCTTGTCATTGGAGTATAGAGTTATCATTTTATGGCACGTGGTTGTCTCCATTTGCTTTTCTTCTTCTTTTTTTATGGTCAATTTTTTGTGAGGAAATATATTTGTTCTAAGAAGATGATGTGAAATAGATGAACAATCACAACCACTATTTTCATCATGAATATTGTCTAGTCTTTCATTTTTTTACAATTTGCTTATTTTAATACCAGGTATACCTTGGCCATAAATAATACTCCTACTAGTTTATTGTTTGTAAATGTTACAATTCATATTTGCATACACTAATTTGATCATGTTTAAGTGAAATAATATTTCTTACTCGTCAACTTTTAACCTTCCCAGGAGATATGTGTGGGCGCACAAGTTTTGAATACCCAAATAATCTTTTCAACCTCAGTCAGATTACTCTTTCTTTCTTCTCTTTAACCAAACGTTGTTAAATGCTCTTACTCCGCATCTGCCTAATTAATTAAGAAATTGATATCGAGTGACAATATAAATAGGAATTGGCAAAGTTTCACCTTTAGATTACATTTAGCAAAGACAGCCCAAAATTTTTAGCAGTGTATAGTCATATTATAAAAAATCTACTTCTCTATTTATTCTCTCCTCATAAACCCTTTCTACCTCTCTTTGTTGTCTTCCACTCCTTCTCCCTCGCTCCATAATTCTTATTCAATCTCTCCTTTCTTCTAGACAATCAATTGAAGATAGATAATTAAGTTTTTGCTTAATTTTCTGGCTGGAACATACTAGACAATCAATTAAAGGCCTAAATGTAACAACCAACATTTTTGTGACGTCAAATCTCATACGGCCCCCTTTTGATTCAGATTATTAAAAGACTTCTCTTTGATTCAAATTATTAACAAATATTTCTAATTCTATATTGTATATCAATGTATTCTTATCATATATATTTGTTTGTATCTGTAATGACCTGGCCGATCGTTGCATGAGTTACAGTCCTGTTCTCCCCGTTTCTGCTTTTTTATGTGTTGTTCAATTGTCTTTCATCATATCGTGTTGGTTGTTCTGTGTTCGGAATAGTCATGGAGTGAAATGAGACACTTAGTCTCTTATTTGGAAGTTTAAGTTGGAAAAGTCAACTGGATGTTGACTTATGGGTAGAAGTTCTCGGATGTGAATTCTGATAGTTTGGATAGCTTCGTTAGGTGATTTTAGACGTGTTCGGAATATAATTTGGAGGTCTGTGGTAGATTTAGGCTTGAATTGGCAAAATTGGAAATTTGGCACTTTCCGGTCGGCAGTGAAAATCTTGATATCGGGGTCGGAATGGAATTCCGAAAATTGGAGTAGGAGTGTTGTGTCATTTTTGACGTGCGTGCAAAATTTCAGGTCATTCGGATGAGGTTTGATAGGTTTTTGGATCAGTTGCAAAATTTGGAAGTTTGGAAATCCTTAGGCTTGAATCCGGGGGTGATTTGGTATTTCGATGTTGTTTTTAGTATTCCGAGGGTTGAAATAAGTTTGAATAGTGATATGTGACTTGTTCGTATTTTTGGTTGAGGTCCCGGGAGACTCGGGATGAATTCGGAAGGTTGTCGGAAAGTTTGATCTTGAAATTGAGCAACTTCAATTGCTGCTTCTGTCATAACTACACCTGCGGATTGGGGACCGTAGGTGCGAGCCACAGAAGCGGTATTGGTCGCAGAAGCGGAGGTCTTGACCGCATCTGCGAACCCGCAGGTGGGAGACCTGGGTCGCAGGTGTTGTGTCTGGGGAGCTAAGTGGATTCCGCAGGTGCGGATTTTAGAGCACAAAAGCGGCCCACAGGTGCGAAATGTTGTCCGTAGATGCGGGAATCGTTGGGCAGAAAGTATAAAAGGCCCTCTTCGCAAATTTTAGTCATTCTTCCACCATTTTTTGCCGATTTTGGAGCTCCAAGCTGTGATTTCAAAAGGGAATCAAGTGTATTCAGAGAGGTAAGCTACTAGGGGTTTGTATCTTGTGTTTATGGTGATTATTCCATTGTTTAATCATGAAATTTGCGGGAAAATTAGAGAAGAAATTGGGAGATTAGGGCTTGAAATTGGAGAGTTAAAATTGGAGATTTGAGGGGTCATTTAATGTCCGATTTTGATGATCTTGGTATGTATAGACTCGTGAGAGGATAAAGATTCTAATGTTGTGATTTTTATCGAATTTCGTAACGTGGACCCGGGGATCAGGTTTGACCAATTTTGGGATTTTTGAGTTAATTTGATAATTTTGGTGTGAGCTTTGTTCCTTTGGCATGTATTGGTATTACAATTCTGATTTTGGATAGATTCAGGGCGATTTGAAGTTGAGTCGAGAGGCAAGGGCATTGCAGAGTAGATTTTTTGTCCGGCTTGAGGTAAATAACGATTGTAAATCTAGACCTGAGGGTATGAAACCCCAGAACTTCATGTTGTTTTGATAAATGATGTGACGCACATGCTAGGTGATGGGCATGTGGGCGTGCATCGGTAGAGATTGTGACTTGGTCCGTCCCGTGACAACTGAAGAGTTGCATATTTTGATAAACTATATAAGAAATTTATGTGTTAGAAATAATTCTATTAACTTGGGCTAAATGCCATGTTTAGGGCCTTATGCCGAACTGTTTGGACCCTCAAGGGGTAATTCTACTACTTTCCTCACACTGTTTTGATTCTAAAGCATATCCTCATTCATGATTTTACCTATTTATTTTTTATTCAGTTTCACTACTCTGTTTTAAATATATGAAAGTTGTTTGGGCAGAGTTCCCTGATTCTTTTCATGATTTTTATTCAGTTACATATATATGGGTCGGGCTGCACGCCGCAACGATATAGTGCTTGGGATGTAGGAGCCCCCCCCCCCCCCCCCCCCGAGTCTGAATACCCCTAGTGAGCGCAGTCGACTATATATTTTTACAGATCAAGCTGCACGCCGTAGTGGTTATTATTTTGAGATATCTATTGAGTGAGAGTGCTGATTGAAGAGAGTTGAGTCACGAGTGACTGAGAGGCTATATATATGAGTGATGCTTTGCCGAGGGGCTTGTTTATGAAATTACTATTTTCACTCTTCTTTTATATTGAGCCTCTATTGAATAATGTTGAACAAATATAAATAACTTTCATTGATGCTTGAGTTTTTACGAGATGTTCGGAAATTGAGCTACAGATTTGACTTGTTATTCCTATTGAGATTTTATGTTAGACTATGTATATGATTTAAATGCTCGCCACTGCACTTAGCCTTTATTTACTTTGGTGATTTACTGAGTTGGCGTACTCACGTTACTCCTTGCACCTTGTGTGCAAATCCAGGTGCCAGAGCATCCGAGTGAGAGCATCCAGCAACTTCTGAGTATTTTCCGGAGATAGCAAGGTAGCTGCACTGTGTCTGCATCCCTGCCTTTCTCCTTCCTATCCTTAGTATTATCTATTTCAGTCTTATCTTGTATTGAGTAGAAAGTATTGGACAGTATCTTAGTGGCTCATGACTAATGACACCGGGATCGGGCAGTGTGGGTGTATTTGCGTATTTGTTTTCCGCGTATTTTGTTATATTAAAATAAAAGACTTGTGATCATAATGGATTTGGAAATAAATTTACAAAGGACCTTTATGTTATTAGTGTTGAATCGGCTGGCCTAGTACTGTGATAGGCGCCATCACGACCGGGTTAGTTTGGGGTCGTGACAATATCCACAAGAAATTATGTATTATACACTTAGATATACAAAAAAAATTGATATACAAAGCAGAAAAATAAATTTTTGGTATACAAAAAAAGAAAAATAATTTTTTTATATACATTTGATATATACAAAAAAGAAAAAGAAAATTATAATATATTTTTGAGAATAAAAAAGATTATTGTGATAAACATTTATTGGCTACCTTACCAATAAATAAAAATAAATTAATTCTAGCCAATTGTAGATTGAGTTGTTATACAATGCCAAATTCCCATTAATTCTCAGCTCTATTGTTAAGGAGAGAAAAATTTAAAACCATAGGTGTTATCACAACAATTGGGGCCATATATTTTGTAGCATGGGCTTCCTCCACAAAGTGATGGCTGGAACATGAAATATAGGGGGATTTGCATATATACCAATTTTTGGGACTACCATTTAATTTATATTCATATTGCACAAAAGTTTGTAAAGTGTAACCGCTCAGATATTAAGTAGTTCAATTTCTTTATTCAACTTCAGCAATCAAATATGAAGTTCTCTTATCTTTCAACTACAATTTTAGAAATTCAAATCTTAAGTAGTTCAATTTTTCAATACAACTTCAAACAACTTCAGAAATTCAAATCTGAAGTTCTGAAACATAAACTTGTTCTTCGAATTTCAACAATCCAACACACGATTCAACACATAAATCTACTCCAAATGAGCTGAAATTTAAAACATAACTTTCACATATCATAAAGAACGAATTATAATCGTTAGATTGTTAAAACAACCACAAATTTAACAAATCCATTTTGCAACTAAGAAGAAGAAGAAACCCTAAACAAAAAGATGAAGAAAGCAACAATAAAAAAGAAGAGAAAAATATATGTATCTAAAGTTACTAAAAATATTATGTATCAGTTGATTTTTTTTAAAAAAATAGGTAGAGATTCAATCAGTGGCGTAAAATTGGGCGCCAAATGAAAATTTTACTGAATTGTAGTCCAGTGGGATGACACTAACAAAATGCCGGGGGGAGGGGGAGGGGGCTGAGAACTACTAGTAGTTACTATATTGGTCAAAATCTTACCACCACGACCAGGTTGCCTGACACCCCGCCTTAGTAACTGGGCAGTGAGAGTCAATAGAGTCCACTCCATTTCTCCTCTGTGCCAATCGACGAACTGAAAGGAGTAACGCCTAAAATCACGACTAGGATACATTAGTGACAAGAAAGCATCGAATCAAGCAAAGGGTAAAAGGGCCTCGACTATATATAGCCAAAGAAAGT